TATCTATTGGGATAGAGAAACAAAACTAGCAGGAACATACACATAATGAACAAAGTGGTCTGCCTTTTCAACCCAGTGGACCTTTCAGCTTTGCCGTATTTTCAGAATACAAGTCCGAGAACAATTTTCTAACAATAGCTCCATCTAGTGCTGTGGTTGATAAAAATCCTTCACTTAGTAGAGCACGTGCTTCATAAGTGTTTGAATAAGGCTTTACAACATCCACCACTTTTATTGTTCTGCTTACCTCACACAGTATCTTATAATGGATAAATGGCACTAATAACTTCCCACCATTTACAAGGGCACCGTTTAAACCATATTAAGCAGCATGGCTCTTTCAGTCAGGTCACTTTGTTAAAGTGCAATTATTATCTGTCATTAAGTGCGGTCCTGCTTGTATTGTTAGATTTACCAGCTTTCATTTAATCTATACGCCAGTTCTAAAGGATCACAAGATACAGCTATGTAATTCTTTGTAATTAAGTTTGATAATGATTCTGGTACACAAGCAAGCCTATTGAACTTTTATCAAATAATCTTAGTGAACTCAACATTTTGTAATGCTCTCTCTCCCACAGAAAAAACCATCAGGAAATTATGTGGATCATTGTTCAAGCTGCAAATTCCATAGTCAGCTCTGTGTCACCTTCCCTTCTAGCAACCCCTCCACTGTCTTTGATTGGTCAGACTGCTTTGCTTAGCATCCAATAATAAACAAACAGACATTACCTCCAGCTAAATACTGTGAAATCTAAAACCATTGTTACCCAGTTTGGTTCTTAATTGAGCATGATACCAATTTTTAAGCCTATTCGACCAGCCCAATTATCAGAGGAAACACTTCTTTCTTGTTCATCAAAACCTCTCATCATTTTGAATTAGATCTCTGCTTAACCTTCATCTATTCCAATTAATTACTCTGAACATAGGAGCAGAAGCTGGTCATTCAGTCCCTTGATCCTGCTCTGCCATCACAGCTGGTATGTTTGTATTTTGAATTCTGCATTCCCACCCACTTTGATTCCATTTCCTCACAAAAATGTATCAACCTCCACCTTAAAAATATTCAATGACCACCTCTCCCCCCAACCCGAGCCTCCAGCATTTATTGAGGCAGGGATTTCCAAATGCATACAATCCCCTAAGAGAAAAATATGCTCCTTACTCTGTCCTTCTAATTCTGAAAGAGTCCTCCCAAAGTTCAGGACTCACCCAAAAGAGAAAACGTTGTTTCCACATCCACCATGACAAACCATTTAGGATATTAAACACATCAATCAAGTCACCCCCTCCTCTTCTAACCTCCAATGAAAACAAGTCCTGCCAGCCCAATCTTCCTTCATAAGAAAGCTTGTTCATTCCAAGTATCAATCTTGTAAATCTCTGAACTGTCTCCAACAGATTTACATCCTTCCCTAAATAATGAGACCAAATGTACACAATACCGGAGATGTGTTCTCACCGATGCCCTGGTTAACTGAAGTGTAACAACCTTACATTTATGTTGAATTCCTCTTTTAATACAGGAAAGTATTCCATTAGCCATCTGAATCACTCGCTGTACTTGATACTAGCATTTTGTGACTCATGCGCTTTGGAGTTCTCCAGTCATTGTCCATTTAAGCAAAAATCTGGTTTTTCATTCTTCCTGCCAAAGTGAACAAGGAGATGAATGGGTAAATGTTCCACCTTCTGTAATTCCATGGTAAGGTGCCATGGAGGAATGAGAAAGTATTAGAGGTAGATAGATGGATAGGTGGACCATGAACAGTCCTTGCAGAATGCTGACTACATTATACTATTGTCTCTTTTCTGCCAACCAGCCAATTTTTAATCCCTGTTTATATGTTATCACTATACCACTATACCACTATACACAATAACCTTTTATATAGCATCTTGTTGAGTGCCTTCTGGAAGTCCAAGTACAGTACATCCACAAGCTCCCATTTAACCATCGTGCATTTTATACCTACAAAGAACTCCAGGAAATTGTTTAAACATGATTTCCCTTTCACAAAACCATGCTGAGTTCTTTCAATTTCCTTGAATTTTTCAAATAGTCCACGTATAATTGAAAGTGAGGGGTGCTTTTACTATAAAGTCATTAATTAACCTCGTTACATTACACAATACCATGATAGTATAATCTCTTCTCTGGCTATTTCCAGAACATGTTGCTCTAAAAGGTTAACTTCAAAGCACATTAACTCCTCTTTCAGGCTATCTACTTTCTGATTTTTCCAATTTATGTGTAGATTAAAATCTCTCATGACTGTTGCTATCCATTTAGCACAATTGTTCTTTTCATTGACTTCATCCTAGAAGTAGTGATTTCTTTCCCTTACCATTGTGAGGGGTGAGAGCTGGAGAAATGCTTTATACATCTCCCCTTTTGAAGAGGGAAAGTTGTTGTTGTGTCGCCATAGTCTTACCAGACCATGGGGCTGCTCTCTTGTTAGAGAGAGATGTCTGGAGGTGATTTAAACTTAGGGCCATCGTACCTCATGCAAGGGGAAAGGTTGAGAAAGGGACTCTTTCATGGTAACCACAACTGGTGATGGGATTTGAACCTACACAGTTGGTATCTCACTGCTTCACAAACCAATCATACAACCAACTGAGCTAAACCAACCCCAGGAGGGAAAGTAGCTCCTTGGCACTAAAGGTGGCACCTTTGAGGAGAGATAATTATTTTTAGGATTGTGAGAATGCATGCTTGTGTGTAAAAACTGCATAAACCAATTGAGGCTGGCAAAGTTGTCAGGAAAATGTCCAAAAAAAGGAAATGTCTGGAGTAACAAAATGGTGCCAGGTGTTTCAGGGTGCCTGTTCACATGAAACCATTAGAAGATTTGTGTTGCCCAACTGCAGGATGATTAAATGGCATAGAGTGGTAACGCAGGTATAACGAGTCATGGGGATGAGTAAATAGGTAGACAAAGGCATTTGGTGTATCAGAATCACAGAATTATTGTGTTGTAGAGGGCAGCCATTCAGCCTATCATGTCTGGACTGGCTGCCTGAGTATCATAGGTCAATATTTGCATAAGAAATAAATGGATGAAAGTGAACAACATTTTCAGCCGAATTTTGTTTCTGCTGGTCTGGTGTTCAATAAATTATCTGAAAAAATTGCAAAACATTTAGTTGCGCTCTTTGGAAGTTCTTATCTTCTAAATTAAGAATAACTAAGAATCTTTCATCTAAGTATCTTTCATCAAAATGTCATTCAAATTATGGGTGTGTCTGTGTCAAGACATCAAATAATCCTTAACACTTATGCAGTAATTAGTCATCCAAAAATGAAAAGTCTGAACATTCAAAGTATCAAAGGACAAGAAAAAGCCATTTGCTTTACTCTGGTTTTATTAACTGTCCATTTTTCACCAATTTAACTAGGCATATTTTTGGGATCATCTCCGTTGGTCTAATTTTCCTCTCAGCTAGGATTTTTATAATCACCACTAGATGGAAACAATCAATTGGTAAACATAAAAACAAAACTTCGTACAAAAATACCAGTTGATAAACTTGTTCCTATTTAAATTCCAGTTTAAACATTAGCGAATAATGTATTTAAATATCTGAGTAATTACTCTATACTGGTTAAGACTTGCACTAAAGTATAGTAATGCACAACTTCCCCTCCGTCATTTTAGCAAATATTGTTAATGTTCCTCTTATTTTCAGGCTTTATTGCTCTCTCTTTTAAATCTGCCATTTTTACCTTCGTATAAAAAACACCACTCTTGACCACCATCATTATCATTGCAAATTAGTACCATCTCCATAGTTCCATTCCTCTCCAAAGACCAATTTATTGGTATCTTCCAAATCAATTCCTTTCTTCCAGAACTCCAAATTTGAATTTCTCTAATCAGATTTCAATCCTTGATAGCAACGATTGTTATCAAACTCAAGATGATATCCAATGTAATTGGGGAAAACGTAAACTATCCCACTTCCTTCCTAGCCTGTCTGAGACTTTGACATGTTTGACCACATCATCCTCCACCAATGCCTCTTTACTGTTGTCCAACTGGGTTGGATTACAATTGCAGGATTCCATTCTTATGGATCTAATTATGGGTCAGTTAGCTCAGTTGGCTGGACAGCTGGTCTGTGATGCAAAATGATGCCAACTGTGTGGGCTCAGTTCTTGTACTGGCTATGGTTACCATGAAAGTCTAACCTCTCATACTCGCCTGAAGTATGGCGACCCATGGGTTAAACCACCACCAGTCGTCTCTAATGAGAGAGTGACACTATGGTGCCATTGAACTGAAGGGCTTTGGTGAGGAATGGGATTATGGAGATGGGCAGTAGTTTGCAATAATAATAATGGTGTCAACAGTTGCTATTATTAGAAGAGAGTGAAAGTGGTAGATTTAAAGGAGGCAGCAATAAAACCTGAAAATAAGAGAAACATTAACAAGGTGTAGAGCTGGATGAACACAGCAGGCCAAGCAGCATCAGAGGAGCAAGAAGGCTGATGTTTCGGGCCTAGACCCTTCTTCAGAAAAAGTTCCTACTATCTCTGAAACATTAACAATATTTGCTAATATGATGGAGGGGAAGTTGTGCATTACTATGTTTTACTCTAAGATTTAACCAATATAGATTAATTACCCAGATATTTAAATCTATTTTTCACTAATATTTAAGCTGGAATTTAAATAGAAACAAGTTTATCAAGTTTTGTAGAAAGTTTTGTTTTATGTTTACCAATTGTTTGTTTCCATCTAGTCGTGATTATGAAAATCCCAGCTGAGAGGAAGATTAGACCAACAGAAATGACCTTTTTAATCTAATCATATATGAAAATATCACTTCCAATGACCTCTCTTCCTGCCACCTGTTATTAGCTCTGGCGTCCTATAAGGATTTATCCTTGTCAGTCTCCTGTTTCCCATCTACATGCTGACCTCCAGCAACATCTGAAAACATAGCCAGCAACATGCATATGTAAACTAATGCTATCAGTTCTAACTTACCACATCAGTCCACCCTTCCATTTCTGCTGAATTATCAGACTGCTTCTCAAACGAGCATTCCTGAATGAACAGAAATTTGTTCCAATTAAATTTCTGAAAAAAAAACATTCGTTTCAGTCACTGAATCCCAAGCTACTGAAACCATCCTTTCTCCTGGCAACGCTTTGAGACTAAACTACACTGTTCATAATTTTGCTGACCGCACAGTCACATTATTGCTAAGACTGCCTATCTCTGCTCCCTTAACATTGCCTGAATTCACCATGCTTCATCTCACCTGCTGTTAAATTCCTTATTCTCATTTTCTGCACCTCTAGGGTTGACTACTCAACATACTGCAGGCTCAACTCCCACATTCTTGAAGTAAATTTGAGGTCATCTAAGACTCTGTTACTCATGTCCTAACACACAGAGTCTCTTTCACCTATCTCAGTGTTTGTTCACCTATATTGATCAAACAATGCCTTCTTTTAAAATATTCAGTCCCTGTCTGTGTAATCTCCACCAGCCCCACAACCCTCTTCACACAAATATCTCTGCTAATTAAATCTGGTCCCATGAGCAGCCCCAATTTTAATCACTTCCCCATTGTAAGTTTACAGTTGCCTAGGCCCTAAGCTCTGGGACATCTCATAACACCTTTCCACTTTACTTCTTCCTTTAAGATATTCTGTAAAATCTACATTACCTTAAATGTGTTTTATAAATGTTGAGTTTTATTTTGCTGTTGTTGTATATAAACATTCCTGCTTCAGTTGTTAAATTATAGGTAAGCACTAAGGGCATTTTGATCCAGTTCCACAGTAATGAAGACAATGTTAAATTATCCATTATATCATTTTAAAAAGTACTGCAATGTGATCAATCTAAATAAACACTTCAGATACAAGCATCTAACAAAACTTATTCCAATGCCTGTTCAGTATAGATCATTAATAGATCATTTGATGCTACCAACAACAACATCTTTATTGCAATCATAATTTGGCATAAAATTTGTTGTACATTTTAGTCAAATATTGGCATTTAATGACAATTTTTAATGCCCAAACTGTCAGTAATCTGAAACAAAATCAATTGGCAATTCTGAATCCATCCAGTTTATTTATTTTGCTGACCATGTAAATTCAGTGATAACAAGGTGTAGAGCTGGATGAACACAGCAGGCCAAGCAGCATCAGAGGAGCAGGAAGGCTGAAGAATGGTCTAGGCCCGAAACGTCAGCCTTCCTG